TCTCATCGTGCCCATAAATTCATTCCCGATCGCGTTCCCAGCCTGCCAGGCCCTCGCGGGACATGCGGCAGCTCCCAGCCCGTGCTGGAGATACGGACTGAACTTTGGTCCCTGAGCAATTAAGGTGCCTGAAACTGCACTTCATTAATGGTTGTTCTGCAATAAAACCCATCAAACTGCTCTTATTTGCAATATAAAACTGCAATTTGTTTTAATTTATGTTTTTCAATCCCTGCCGGGTGGTTCCTGGGATCTGCCAGGCATCTGTCACTGGAAGCAGCTGTCGGGAGCTGGCTGGCCCTGGGCGCTGGGTGCTGGTCCCTGCTGAAGGGGGAACATGGGGTGGGGTGTGGGTGGGCTTGCCCCAGGTCTGGAGAGGGGGTTTCCATTCCTTCCCATTCCCCGTGGACCCTGCGCTGTGTCCCCCAAGAAGGGAGGGCAGGGATGCAGCCATGGTTCCATGGAAGAGCATCCCCGTGCCCTGGCAAGTTCATGGGAACGGAGCTGCCACTGAGGCAAATTCCTGAACAACAGTTCAGGCTGGGAGCAAAGATGGAGCCGGCTGTTTTCCTGGGACAGCATCACCCGTGGGAGCTGGGAATCTGGCTCAGCTCAGCTCAGAGTGTGCCAGCACACGTGTGCACATCCCTGCGGAGCAGCATTGGACACAGCAGCGACCTCTGGACATCCCCAGCGATTTGTACTTCCATAAAGCAGCGCAGGATCCCTGTGGGATCAGCCAGCCCTGAGCCCCCATTTCTAATTACAGTAATTGTGGCTCCGGCATCCTCCGGGGCTGGTTGTTCTCCATGGCTCCAAATCCGGCGGGAGGAATCTGGGCCATGGGGCAGGGCTGGGAAGGGCTCTGAGCCACCTGGGATTCCCGGTGGATCCTGCCGTGGGAACGCTGCTCTGGCTCCCAAAGCCAGCAGGGCCCTTTGCCAGCCCCGCTGTCCCCCGCCCGCAGAGCAGCCTCGGGGCTCCCTCGCGCTGCTGCCCGGCCCTTCAAGGTGGTTGGGGCTTTCCAGAGAATTCTCCTTGCTCTCGGCAGGTTTGTGATGGGAAACTGCCCTGGCTCCCGCTCGAGGCAGAATTTGGGATGTTCGGAGCTGCCGGTGGTACCCGAGGAGCTGCAGAAAACCCCATTCCCTGGGGATGGGCACGGACGAGCCCCGGGGCTGTGGCACAGGAGGGTGGCAGAGCTGGGACAGCTCCCCTGGTGTCCCCGTCCTGTGTCCTGGATGGCTCTGCACGTTTCCCAAGCTCCCAGCTCCCACTCGGACATGGAGACCCCACCATGTTTTTCTGACCATGGGTGACATTCCCGAGGGGATCCCTCATCCCACCCCGAGGACACACAGGGACACAGCCACCGCTCCGGCACGGGAGCCAGCAAAACGCAGCTGGAGCTACCGATCCCGGCCTGCACCTGGAGGGAATTAGAGCTCCTGTTCACCTCCCTGCAAACCTTTTGTAGAGCGAATTCCTGCGGTTTCCCATCGCAATTGCTGCAAATTATACGAGCGCCGCGTTCCGTTCCGACGGGAACGTGCCCTTGGCGTGTGCCACTCGGAGCTGCCGCCACGCCTGGCCTCGGGGGACCCTTCCAGAGCCCCCCCCCCGCATCTTTCCTTGTTTTTCCCTTATCCTATGGGATGTGGGGGGCACGTCCGCGGCAGAGCTGGGGATGGCTCCGGGTGGGATGGGGAGCAGATGTGTGTGCACAGCTGGATGCGTGCCCAGATGTGCAGGCGGGAGGGGATGCTGGGGGGGGATGTGCTGCCCTCGAGGGGCCTTTCAGGGGCCCCCATCACGCTGGGGACCCCCGCTGGGGTGGGTGGTCGCGCATGTATATACACACACGCTTGTAAAGGCACACGCACACCCACCTCCGTGCCTGTCCACGCAAGGATGTGCACGGATGTGTGTCCTCGTGCATTCCCGCATCTCTCTGGCCGCGCTCCGCTCTCCGGGGGTGCCCCCGACCGTGGAGTACCCCCCTTTACCCCCCAGAACCAGCGAGTCCAGGCCGCCAAGGTGGCAGGAGTGTCCCCGCTCTGTGACATCACTTCCTTCGGCACCGGAAGCCGGAAGTGCCGCTGTGGCCGGTGCCGGGTCGGGGCGGGCCCGGTGGG